CTTCGGTGAGCTGCTAACTGAATTCACATGTGCTATAAAGAAGCCTTCAGCTGTGGTCTCACTAAGTTACTAAATTCAAGGAATATTACAGAAAAAAACAGGTGGTGGGGAGGAAAACCACAGCTTAACATAGCCCTGACTTGCTGGCTCCTTCCTGTATTATACAGACTTTCTAACAGTTATGGAGGGAATTTAGGAGTTGTGGAAGTCCCTTATAATATTTCTGCAGCAAATATGTTCTACAAGGCATTAAGTGACATAATCATTCTTATTATTAACATACTATTTGTTCCCGTTGGACCTTGAACTAAGGAGCCCTTTGAGGTAGTGGCTAGAAGACTTAGTGACTTGGGAGGAGAATGAGTTCAACCCTGACGATGATGAGCTGTTTCCTACCTCCCCTTTGTCAGGTAATGCAGATCACTTTGGGAGTACCTTCTAGGGGCAGGGTTATGCTAACATGGATTTACTGTGGAGAGAGGCTAAACTGTTCATAGTTCTTCTGTTAGCACAGGTGAAGAGAAGCACAGGCTCCCAGCCCTGTGTCCAGTACATCTGTGCAGCCCCAACACTGCCTCACTGAGCCAGGGGAAGGAGATAGTGCACAGGAGACTTTCAGATCTGATGTTGTTGCAGTCCCAACAGAAGAGGTCCCAGCTGTGTACCCTCTGGGCAGATTATGGAGAACGTGCTCCTAGAGCCTGGCTCTGTTGGAGGCAGCAAAGCTGTCTGGCAGTGAGAGCTCTTCAGCCAAGGCAACGGCAGCAGTGAAAGCTCCCTGAGTTGTCGCATGGATAGGTGTGGATATCTGCAGGGGCTTGTGAGCAGAGGGGTATGAAGGACTCGGTGTCTTTGCTGTCACTCTGGCAGAGCCTTTTGGAGATGGTTTAAACTGAGTGATATTCCCTTTCCATTGCTAGCTTCTATGGGGTCTGCCTGATAGAAGGGAGGAAGAGAAACAGAGGAACTGCTAAGCCATAAGTTGCCTGGAGACAGCTAAACCACCTGAGCAATGTGCAAACCAACACGGGAGATTAAACGGGACGAGGTCTGATGGGTCCATGGAAGCTAATGAAGCAGTGTGCAGCTGAAATGGCTTTTGGTAATGACCTCCATAAGAGCCTCTTATTTAAGAATATTTTAAGCTTTGCATGTGGAAGTCAGGTAACAGGTAACAGGCAGAAGTCTGAGCCCAGAAAGCATGCTCAGATGAAGGGATGGCTGAAATGGAAAGATTCAGTGTTTGAGTCTCCAGATACACTGTCTGCTGGTGTTGTGGTGTAGTGTCATTTTGACAAAATCTGCTAGATCATGGTAACTGCCACAGCGTTTCCCAGGTAATCTCCAAACTATTCCAAAGAGTGCGTCAACTACTGTGAGAGCAGGGATCCTGATTCCTAAGTGTCTTTGCAAATAAAAGAAACCATAACATTGATAATGAGGATGAGATTTTAAAAGCTTTCAGGAAGTTAGGAGATCCACACCCAGTGTTTTAGAATGCATAAAGTACTCCACACTGGATAAATACCTCCGACTTCTTCATTGCATCGCTTTCAGGGTTTTTTCACAGAGCAAGTCATCTGCCATTTTTTATCAAGTTCTTTTGTCTTTAACTTGCACCCTATTTCTCCTCTCTCACTGGAAGAGCAGCATCGCCTCTCGGTTTGAATGCATATGTGTGTTTCATGTATGAAATTTCCTGTTTCTGGTTTTGGTCCCAGTTCAGGACAGAACTGTGAGGGAAACCATGTAAGAGCCAAAATCCCATGAGGTTGGGTAGTACTTATTCATGTCGCTTCAATTTAAGTACATAACCAAGTGTATCCTGAATAGGATGTTTTCCTAAACAGAGACATTTCTGGTACTGCATAATGCCATAGCTTAGTAATTTACTGATCTGGTTAATTATATTAATATAATGCATACGGAGTGTACAAGTTCTGTGTGATGTTGCACCATGAAATGTAACTGTCAACAGAAACAGCAATCTCTGCATGAAGAAGATCACAGAATGGTTGAGGTTAGAAAGGACCTGGAGGTCATCTGGTACAGCCCCTTTGCTCAAGCAGGGCCACCTAGAGCCAGTTGCCCAGGACCATGTCCAGATGGCTTTTGAATATCTCCAAGGAGGGAGACTCCACAACTTCCCTGAGCAACCTGTGCCAGTGCTCAGTCACTGCCACAGAAGAACAGTGTTCCTTGTTGTTCAGACAGACCCTCCTCTTTTTCAGTTTGTGCCCATTGCCTCTCTTTCTGTCACTGTGCACCACTGAAAAGAGCCTGGCTCCATCTTCTTTACACCCTCCCGCCAGGTATTTATACACATTGATAAGTTCCCCCTTGAGCCTTCTCTTCTTCAGGCTGAACAGCCCCATCTCTCTCAGCCCTTCCTCACTGGAATGATGCTTCAGTTCCGTAATGATACTTGTGGCCCTTTGCCGGACTCTCTCCAGTGTGTCCATCACTCTCTCATACTGAGCAGTACAGAACTGGCCATACACGTGTGGACTCACTAGTGCTGAGTGGAGTGGAAGGACCATCTCCTTTGACCTTCCTAAGCACAGCATAGCTAGCTGGCCAGGGAAGGTGAATGTTCCACTCTGCGCTGCACTGGTGTGGCCCCTTCTTGAGTGCTGTGTGCAGTTTGGGGCACCTTGGTATAAGAGGGACATCGAACTGTTAGAATGTGTTCAGAGAAGTTTGACCAAGAAGATAAAAATTCTCGAGGGCAAGACTTATGAGGAGCAACTGAGGTTACTTGGCTTGTTCACCCTGGGGAAGAGACGGCTGAGGTGTGACCACATGACAATCTACAACTTCCTCCAGGAAGGCAGTGAAGGGGGAAATGCTCATCTCCTCTCTCTGGTGACCAGTGATAGGACACAAGGAAATAAAATGAAGCTGTGTCAGGGGAAGTTCAGGTTGGGCATTTGGAAAAGGTTCTTCTTTAAGAGAGTTGCCAGTCACTGGAACAGGTTCCCCAGGGAAGTGACCACAGCATCAAGTCTGTCAGAGTTCTAGGAGTGTCTGAACAATGCTCTTAGTCATATGAATTAGTTTTAGGCAGTCAGTGAGAAGCAGGGAGTTTGACTTGATGATCCTTATGGGTCCCTTCCAACTTGAGATAATCTATGAGTCTATGATCTATGTTGCCTTATGCAGCTCAGGATACCATTCACCTTCTTTACAGCAAGGGCACATTGCTGGCTCATGTTCAATTTGGTCTCTACCAGGACTCCCAAGTCCTTTTTTGCTAAGCTCCTTTCCAGCTGGGTGGTCCCCAGTGTATTGGTGAATGGGGTTGTTCCTCCCCAGGTGCGAGACTTTGCACTTCACCTTGTTAAACCTAATGAGGTTCCTACCAGTCTGTTCCTACAGCCTGATGTAGTCCCTCAGGATGGCAGCACGACTCTTTGGTGTATCAGCCCCTTCCCCCAGTTTTGTATCATCTGCAAATTAGCTAAGGATACACTCTGCCCCATCACCCAGATCATTAATGAACAGCACTGGATCCTGTGTTGACCCAGGGGTACACAACTAGTTCATGGCCTCCAAGTAGACTTTGTGCTACTGATCCACCACCCTCTGGGCCCGGCCATTCAGCCTATTTTCAGTCAGTGGATGGCTCAGCCAGCCTATACTTCAAAAACTTCCCTATGATGATCTCACAGGAAACAGTGTTGAAAGCCTTATTCAAGTCTGGGCAGACAACGTCCACTGCTTTCCCCTTGTCTGCCAGGACAGTTATTTCATCACGGAAGGTTATCAAGTTGGTCAAGCATGACTTCTTGTTGCTGAATCCCTTCTGAGTACTCAGAACTTCTTGTCCATATGCCTGGAAATGGGTTTGTAGGATTAGCTGCTCCATCACCTTCCCAGGGATCGAGGTGAGGCTGACCAGCCTGTAGTTCCCTGGGTCCTCCTTCTTGTCCTCTTTGAAGATGGGAAAGACATTTGCTTTCCTCAACTCTTTGGACACTTCTTGCAATCACCAAGATCAATCAATTATCCAAAATGGCCTTGCAATGACATCTGCCAGCTGCTTCAGCCCTTGTGAGTGCATCCTCTCATCAGGGACCTAGACCTAGATGAAAAGCTGCTGAGAGGTTTCCTAGTCAAGAATTGTCATTGCCTAGCAAGATGTGGATCCTATAAATCCAAGATCTTTAATAACTACTTTCAGTTATCTTTGAGTGAACATTCGAATGCCTGTATTGCAGGCTCACTTGCACATGGTGCGCTAAATAAAGATTGCCACCAATGGCACAGCGGTCTGCTGAGTAAAGCAGAGGAAGCACCATTCAGGTAGAGTAAGAAATACTGAAATGTCCTCAGTAGGGTTGATGCCAAAGAAAAAAAAAAAAAAGTGCGGTTTTGGTTTTGGTTTTTTTTTTAAAAAAAGACATTTTCTCATTTAAACAGTTTCACAAAAACAAGAAAAGAAAATCTTATGCCTGCTGCAATATCCAAAAAGGATATTTGTTTTCAGAACACAGATGTTTGTCCACCAAATGTGGAAAAAATGCACCGCTTTAACATTTCTGAAGAGGTGTTTGGTTTATCAGAAATGATGTTTCAGAGAAGAGCAGATGTCACTTTTAGGTCAGTCAGCCAAAGGTCAGTGAGAGGATATCAAAGCACAGAGTAGAGGACCTATTTTTCTGTGGTCATTATTTTTTGACATGCCCACAAGCAAAAGGTAAAGGTATGTCAAATCAGGACTTTAAAAACTCTATTGATTCACTGTGCTCCATTCTAAGCTTGCATGTATTGAATTGTAGTGGGTTTAGTAGGTACGTTAGAGCTTGAAGAGGCTTACATTAAATGTGTGAGGAAGAGGAGCAAGTCTTTTTGCATTGCTGGGAGCTGTGAGGACAGGACAATTTACCTGTGATTTATGGAATAAAAGATGTCACTTTATGATCCCTCTTAAATCTCTGTATATTACATACGTAAAAGGTGACCTAATGGTAGACATGTGCAATACAGTGACACAGAGACAATGCAGTGCTCACTGGGAACAAAGCGTATTTTAAAATTACTCTCCATCATTTTCTTCCTCAAATGAGTCAGTTCCCACTTCTTCATAGTCCTTCTCTAGGGCAGCCAGGTCCTCTCGGGCCTCTGCGAATTCTCCTTCCTCCATGCCTTCACCCACATACCAGTGCACAAAAGCTCTCTTGGCGTACATCAGATCAAACTTGTGGTCGAGCCTTGCCCAAGCCTCTGCGATGGCCGTGGTGTTGCTCAGCATACAGACCGCTCGCTGAACTTGGGCTAGGTCTCCACCAGGAACTACTGTAGGAGGCCGATAGTTGATCCCGACCTGGAAACAGGAATACGAGAGAAGGTTGTGAAAAGGCAGGAGCAGAAAACAGTCAAAGCGCTGAAAAAAGTAAGCAAAGTTACAGATGCTGAGGTAGGGTGATGCCACTAGCAAAACTGCCAGAAGGCAGATATAATATATATAAAATGATATATATAAAATAATATATATTTAATAATATATAATATAACATATCTTAATATATAAAAATATCAGCAGTATGATACATGGTCATTTTAATGTCTGTATTATTCTTCTGTTTAATGCGCATTGGCAATTTCGTAGCTTTCTTAACAGCTACTCAGCACTAAACATATAGCTCCACTAAGATACTCTATAGACATTAATACAGGAAGTTGCTTCCAGATATGAGTTTTAATTCTTAAACCAGATGTTTGACACATTTTTTTTCTGCTGCTAACCCCTGTATTATTGTTGAAATTATATATCCGAACACTGCTGTGTAGCCAGTGGGGAGAGGCTGTATAATATTTCCGGCTGAGGGGGTTAACTGACAGATTCTCTAATATCAGCATTTCTTTTACTGATCAGTTTTGATATTTCCTTAGTCTTAGGTGTTGCTTCAGAGGGAACACTCACTGGCTTCTCCAAAATTCGTGTCTGAACTGAATACTTCTTTGAATTTTAACTCATATACACTTCAGATTTCCACTTACGGAAATATTTAGGGGTCTGTATCAATGGGATGTCCAAAGGAGAAAGGGCACATTTTATACAAATGTATCTTTCTTATGTTCCTCCTTCTTGCAAGTGGAAAACATGCAAGAACTAAAACTTTAAATGAAAGTTTTCCACTAGACTGAGCTTTAAATGTGAGAAAGATGTCCATGGCAGCCGTACTCACCTTGAAGCCTGTGGGACACCAGTCAACGAACTGGATAGTTCTCTTGGTCTTGATGGCAGCAATTGCTACGTTGACATCCTTGGGAACTACATCCCCGCGATAGAGCATGCAGCAGGCCATGTACTTCCCATGTCTTGGGTCACACTTCACCATCTGGTTGTTGGGCTCAAAGCAGGCGCTGGTGATTTCAGCCACCGAGAGCTGCTCGTGATGCGCTCTGTCAGAAGAGATGATGGGCGCGTAGGTCACTAAGGGGAAGTGGATGCGTGGGTAGGGCACCAGGTTTGTCTGGAACTCCGTCAGGTCCACATTGAGGGCACCATCAAAGCGCAGCGAGGCGGTGATGGAGGAGACGATCTGGCTGATGAGGCGGTTGAGGTTAGTGTAAGTGGGGCGCTCGATGTCCAAGTTTCGGCGGCAGATGTCGTAGATGGCCTCGTTATCCACCATGAAGGCGCAGTCCGAATGCTCCAGGGTGGTGTGCGTGGTCAGGATGGAATTGTAGGGCTCCACCACAGCAGTGGAGACTTGAGGGGCTGGGTAGATGGCAAACTCCAGTTTGGACTTCTTTCCATAATCCACAGAGAGGCGTTCCATCAGAAGGGAGGTAAAGCCAGAGCCGGTACCCCCACCAAAGCTGTGGAAGATCAGGAATCCTTGCAGCCCAGAACAAGCATCAGTCTGGAAAGCAAAAGAGAAAGTGAAAGAATAGGGGCTGAAGAAGAATGAAAAGATTTCATCTCCTGCATGAGCTTATTCTGAGCTGATGGAGAGAGCAATCATCAGGAATATAAAGTGCAGATACCATGTCAGGTTTCTTTGATAAAAGGCTGATGATAATCCTATCCTTCACCTTTCTCACTGGCTCAACCTAGGACATAAAACTTGGATTCTCATCTCTGGAGCTTCACACTTCTTTTAGTTAGGCTAGCTAAAACCTGCAATGTAGAACTGCCTAATCCACCTTTCTGTACGAGCATTGGTGCTCTAGGGCTGTGCTGATAATGAAGAACTGCATATTCAGAATCACTTCCTAAGAACATCTGGCGGCATATAGCTGGGAAGTAGGCTACTGGGCTTCTCTCTCTGGAACTAGTAATAACGCCTCTGTATGCCTTGCACCCTCTTTTCTGAACTATTGGTGTCATTTGTAGAGAACAAGCTACCTGTTCTGCAATTCTTTCTTCTGCAGAGCCCAAACTGCTGTTTCAAAACAACTGGGACTTACCAGCTTACGGACACGATCAAGCACCATATCGATGCTTTCTTTGCCAATAGTGTAGTGGCCACGGGCATAGTTATTAGCTGCGTCTTCCTTTCCAGTGATCAGCTGTTCTGGATGAAAAAGTTCCCGGAAGGTGCCAGCCCGCACTTCATCTGAACAAGAAAAAGAAATTAAGAAGCTGCATGGCTGTGCTCCAACGCCAGCAAAGTTCTGGTTGTTGTTGGCATTGATGGAAAAACTTTCAGTCACAGGGGGCCATGACCTGAAAAAAACAGATGCTGGTGGAGAAGGGAATTGTCTCCTAAGCATTTTTAACTTGTGTTCTGTTGATTCACGGTGTGACTTGTATCCAGCCACAGAAGTTGTTACCTTCTCATGAACCTGTCAGTTGTACAGCCTGTAGCCACAAGAGGACAAGTCACCAGAAAAAAAGTGTGAAGAAAGTCAGATTCCCCTGGTGCTGCAATTTTTAGAAATCCTTCTATTCCTGGAGGGAGACTGTCAGGGTCCCCCTTTGAAGCTAAATTGGAGAAAACTAGAATTCGAATGGCAAAAATGTCACAAAAAAACCTCAAATCCAAAAGTTAAATGTTTGCGCAAAGAGAAGTCATACAAACCCTGTGTACTAGGTATTGAACTGCTGGGGACCCTGCTGCTCCTATATTTACAGCACATATGACAGAATCTGACATTCTGTGTCATAAGAAAATTAATTTCATGCCATCTAGTGGTAGACCAAGATGTAAAGGGTGTGCTGCTTTCTACCAGTGGAGGTGGATGGCACACCATGGTGATACTAGGAAGCTCTTCTCCATTTTCCACTTTTATTTCTATACTAACCTACTACAGTTGGTTCCAAGTCTACCATTACAGCCCGAGGCACATGTTTCCCAGTGACAGTTTCATTGAAAAATGTAGTAAAAGAGTCATCATCGTTGGGTTTATCATGCAGATCCTTGAAGGTGCCGTCTGGCTGAATGCCGTGCTCCAGGCAGAAGAGTTCCCAGCACGCATTTCCTATCTGAACTCCAGCTTGGCCAACATGAATAGAGATGCACTCACGCTAAGGGGAGAGAGAGCAGAGACAGAGTCAGAAAAAACCAGCACACATTAGTCCTCCTTGTTCCTAGTAGTTACTTTTTCCCAGTGCATTGGTCTTCCAAAAAAAAATTGTGAACTGTCGCCATGAGCATTTCATTTGGTCATTCAGCCCCGTGGCCACACTGTACATATACACAGCACATAGTGAAACGGTTCTTTAAAATAATGAGATCTGTGTGCTGTAATATATTGGTACATGAAAATGGGCAAGAAAAAAAAATAATTGCAGTTACACAAACCCCACCTTTTCTCCTATAGATTGACCCTACTGAGGAGCACATCCTGGTTTAGTTTATTTTTACTCCTGTCTGGAACCTGACACAGCCATGTGGTATCCTTCAACCTTATATAACCCAAGACAGGTGATGTCTTCTGATCCTTTTACCCTCTGACAGCAGGCTAAAGCGGAAACTTGGAAGAATTGTTCTAAGCAATATTCACCTCAGGACATTATTTCACATTCTCTTGGTTGAAACAAATGGTCCTACAAGCTTCTAAGCAGCTATGAATTTTACATAGCAGGTCCACTGCGTATTTGGGCAGTGTCATTGCAATTTAGTGTGTTTATTTGCATAATTTTAAGCATAGTTGCTGTATTAGTCGGGAACTTTAATTAAAAGAAAACAGCGTATGTAACACCAAATTAAAACAGGCAGGTACCAATTCCTCCAAAATCCTTTACACTTAAAGAATACAGGAGTATGAAGACCTGCTGCTGGATTTCAGAAGTTCAGCAAGAGAAAAGCATTTTTTTTAAGGCGAGGGTGGCTTTAGACATGTGGAGTTTTCAGCTCCAGTTTCTGCTTTGGAGAAGTTGTAGTTAAAGCCTTCTAAGCTCTGTCTTCGTGATGTCCATGGCCCTGACTGTATTAGGGAGTCAGAAAGGGTCAGGCCATAGTACAGAACACTGGCCTGTGATTGCCCTTGCTGACTGATAATTAGCACACTCTCTGGCACAGTTTTGGCTTGTGCCAGTTCCTACTTTTCCAGACAAGGTTTGGGCACCACCCAGAATACAACTCCTTGTCAAGAATGGTTTCCAGTGAGCAGCTCACTGATCATTGCCCAGCATTGGAGAGGGAAATAGAATTCAGATGCCTGGATGTGAAGCAGGCCGTACTACCTAGCTTCAAGGCCAGAGAATGGTCTTTGCTCATTTTTATTTTGTAATATTGTGTTTAGAAATACCCAATGACTTAGTATCAGATTTGGCCAGATAACTTTTTTTAAAAAAAAAATCTGTCACAGCCTACCCTGCAACATCCTCCTGTGACCTGAGAGTGAAATGCATTTTCCCAAAAAACTAAATCCTCAGGCCAAATGTGTGACCAGCAGCATCTGTGGAGCAGTGTTTTCTTAACAAATGGACATATATTTATGCTTTAGAAACATAAACTAAGATATTTTTTCAGAAGCAAGCGGAATTTCAGAGGTCACCACTGCCCCAGTTAGTCATCCTCAGAAGTTCAAATGAATATGGAGTCAATTTAAATATTTCATTCAATTAAATATATTATCTCTGTTCAGCACTGATTTGTAATTTGCCGACTCTGCAAATGTGTATGCAGTGGGGAGGTGTAACGTGCTCACAAGCGTACTTGCACAACCCTGTTTTTCACAGCTGAGCTATACAAAAGTATCAGTTATTTGAGTGACTATGACGCTTCATATGTTGGTGTGTTACAATGGAGTTGCAATCTGGAGGATTACTCAGGAGGCACTGAAGGCATATTTGGGCTTAGAGAATTCAATTTATGCGGATTTTGCAACATTAAGGCTCCTGCTTTTCTTTCAAATCCCAATGTGAATCTGTGAGGCTGGCAGCAAGGAAAAAAAAAAAAAGCTTTTTCTTCCTTTTAAACAAAACAATTAGGCCAGAAGACTTTTTAAATAATATCTTTTAGAGCAAAATTACAAGTCAAGCAACACTTGGTACCTTAAGAGCTGCTTTAGCTCTGTTCCTCAAATGAGTAGAGGAATTGGTTCTTTCATAGATGGAACAAGTGAATGTTGCCTTAGTTATTATTGTAAAGTACAGGACTACAGCTGAAGACTGAATAACCAGTTCCTTTCTTTTTAGACTGAGCTTTCAGCTGCACTGGTTTGAAGCAGTATTTCAACCCTGACTTTTGAGCCAGGCCTTTTGCCATGCTCCTGCCTTCAACTCCCATCTTCCCCTCGCCTAGCAGTAATTTGGAAATATTCTGACAAGGAGCAAAGACAGTAACAAAGAGGTTTCTAATTTTGCATAGTAAACAGCTTTAAAATAGATATCAGACTTTTAGTAGGGAAGAGAGTGGGCCTTCTTCAGAGTCACAGGCAGAGTAAACTGATCTCTACGTGATATTTAGATTTGGAGCCTACTCCAAACTCGGGTTTCACATCCCATCACTAATGTACCAGGACCTGTCCAACAAATTGTGGACGTTTTTATCTACCAAGAGACATTAGAAGGGGCCAGGTCCTTTGTTAAACTAAACCTGGAACAGCTTTGACACTAATAAAACCAAAAAAAACCCACAAAATAGTACCTGGCTTAAGTATTTACTGTACAAAGGCAGCTTTAGTTTTCCAGCTATTCCTGAAACATACTCTCTATTTCGGTCTGCCTTAAGGCAGGAGGATACTGTGGAAGGGTGTATCTTGCCTCCAAAATGAGCGCCCTCATTTTGGACCTGCAGCTGTACTGGCAGAAAAGAACACAGTTCTCTGCACTAAAATAAGACTTGGTGTGAGACATAAATTGGGGTACAAGATGAAATGGATTTCCCACATTCAAGGAGGTTTTGAGAGATCTCAACTAATTTATAATAAAACCCCCAATCTTAAAAACAAAAAGCTTTTTTTACTCACTTAAATGCACACAGATATAAAAACATTTATGCACTCCAGAAACATGCATGTATACACTGTATAGTTATGAACAGTACAGCCACTGAGGCTAAATTAATTTAAAATAACCACAAAGGTAACTTTTTTTGTTTTATTTCTAAAAAAAAAAAATAAATTAAAATCTCATTGGGAAATGAACCTGTGTTGAGAAAATACAACAGAAAGTACTCAACTGCTAAGACTCCAGGTCTAAATTATGTTATAATTCCTCTAATTAGAGACTCTCAGAAGAAAACTTTGGTCTGCAGTGCCTTACACCTCCAAGTGAGATTTTCTGACGCCCTTTTCCCATCCTGTTCTGTGGCAATCGCAACAAAAACAACAGCAGATCCCCCTTGCCTTCCCTTGCCCATGGTCCTCCTGGTTCCCTGTTAGACTAGTGTTCCCACATGCCCCTTACCATGATGTCTCCAGGGGGGTTCCCTTCCCTTCAGATCGGGACGGCAGGTTTTTGGGGGAGCCTGGCTCTGGGCTGCAGAACAGAAGGGCAGCCCAGCACCCAGCACCTGCTGCTGCGCTTCAGCGCCGTTGGGAATAGGTCACTGACACTGCGGTTTTGCCCACTGCATCGCTGCCTCCTGCCCTCCCCGCCACCCCATGTATGCAAATCCATCCAGGGACAGCTCAGATATACTCCCAGATTTCAAATTTAGTCCAGCCTGTCTTGCTGTGCTTGTTGAATCAGAGCATGGCCATGTAACACATCATACATTATATTTTCTGACACCTGACTATTATAGGTGTATATCATCCACAAGACGCATGCTGTCCCAGTTCCTTGTTCTGCTGGTACGTACATGGATAGAAAAAAGTCACTCCTAAATTCCAATAGAGAAAGCATAAGAGAGAAAATGAATGGAGGAGAAAAGAATAGAATAAAAAAAAATAGAGAACTGGCAAGTAAATATAATTACCATTCTGAAGTGTGCTCTACCGGTGCTCTTAAATGCTGGCCTGGCTTCTTTCTGTCCTTACTCCAGCTGCCTCTCTATTAATGTTTCAATTTACTTCTCTTGCTTTCTCTTCCCCTGTACAGTCATCCAGGCTGTGAGCAGTGTGGGATAGCAGTCAGCACAGACTCTCGTCTGTCCAAACACAGAAAGAAATTTGATTCTTATTGCAGTGCTTATTGCAAGACATAGCTGGAGGCATCACACAAATGTTCTCACACCAAATTAGGGCAGTTGCCTCCTCCACTTCATTGTTTGTTCCTTCTGCACTAGCTCAGCATTGGAAAGCAGCACCTTCTCTTGGTGGAGAAATCCTTGTGTTTGCAACTCCTAAGTAATAAAGAGGAAGGCACACTTAATTGCTTCAGTCTGAGTAGTATGTATCCCCTGACTTTATAAACATACTGTTTATTATGATGTTTAATTAGTAAAAATATAAAAATACATTTTTGAGATTTAGGTTAGTCTGCTATGACATGATGACAAAAGATTGTTCTGCCACTGTTGGCAACCAGCATCAAAGTATCTTCTCTAACTAATGTCTGTGTTTTAACAGTTTGAAATAGGTCTTACTGCTTTTATAAAGTCATGTTTACTTTGATATAGTCTCCATTTTGCTGATGGTTACATAAATCTGTGAATCGCTACTCTTTGATTTTGGCTGGGAAAAGCTACAGAAATTTCTGAGCCACAGATACAATTTTACACACAAAGAATTCCTCTAACATTTTCTGTCTGCTGCTTTCTTTAAGATTTGTTTAAGCTGACTCCCACACTTCTCCTGAAAACCGCCAGATCATTGCTTTGAGGCTAAGGAATAGGTTGTTCTAGTGTTCTAAAACTGATTTAGTTTAGTTGTTGCTAAGACGTGCTTGTCCAAAGTCAAAGGCTTTTCAGTTTCCCATGCTCTGCCAGTGAGCAAGTGCACAAGAAACAGGGAGGAAGCGTGGCCAGGACAGCTGACCTGAACTAGCCAAAGGGCTGTTCCATATCACAGAATGTCAGGCTCAGTATAGAAACCGTGGCCAGCTGGCCGGCGGACAGGATTGCTGCTCGGGCTTTGGTCAGTGAGTGATCAACGATATTCTTAGGTTTTATTTCTCTCTCTCTTTTTGTTATATTATTATTACTATTACTGTTACTGTTACTATTACTATTACTATTATTGTTATAATAATAATATCATGTTATAATAATAAATTATTATGTGCCCTTGTGGCCAAGTGGGCCAATGGTATCCCTGGGGTGCATTAAGAAAAGTGTGTCCAGCAGGTCTAGGGAAGTTCTCCTTCCCCTTTACTCTGCCCACACCTGGAATATTGTGCTCAGTTTTGGGCTCCCGAGTTCAAGAGATCTACAGGGATCTACAGGAGAGAGTCCAATGGAGAGCTACGAGGATGATTAAGGGACTTGAACATCTGTCCTATGAAGAGAGACTGACATGGGGTATGAAGGTTTTGTTTAGCAGCTAAACATATATTACCTAGGTGTTACTTAAGGAGTAGTTGGGATAGATGAAGAACCACAGGTTCATGGACTTAAGTAACAGGAGAGTTGATGGAGTCAATGCATCTGACTAGCACAACACAGGCTGTTACTGCCTGTGGTCTTAACCTGGTTTAGAACGTACTACATAAATTTTAAACCATTTCACTGAAGTCCAGGGAGGTTGTGGAGTCTTCTTCTCTGGAGATATTCAAAGCCCATCTGGACGCGTTCCTGTGTGACCTACTGTGGGTGATCCTGCTCTGGCAGGGGGCTGGACTAGATGACCTCTAGAAGTCCCTTCCTACCCCTAACATTCTGTGATATGGTGATGATGATTATTATTATTATTTTCATATTTTAATTATTAAACTGTTCTTATCTCAGCCCATGAGATTTACCTTTTTTTTTCTTTGTCCCTATTTCTCTCCATCCCACTGTGGGGAGGAGTGAGAGAGTAACTTCCTGGTGCTTTGCCGGCTGAGTTTAAACCAAGGCAGTGGCTTAACCCATTGCTGCATTTTCTCTGCTCTTCCACTGCCACTCTCCTCTCTTCTGAAATAGGCAGTGAAAGCACCTCTGGGAATCAGTGTTAATCATTCCTCTCACCACTGCAGCAGGAATAAACTCACCGATGTTGGGTTGCCACATTGAACAGTCTCACCAGTCAAAAACTTCCAGGGAGCAGGGACTGATGGAGTCTTGAGCAGTGTCCCTGGCTGGTGGGAGTATAATGTCTATGTCTCTTCTCTCTAGAATAAATTGAGCTTGAAGATCCTGGGGATGACCCAGGTTACTATTTTTCCCTTTGTCACACATGCATATCTAAGCAAAAGGCCTTTGCAAATCTGCTTTAGACCAAAGCCAGTGCTTGACCTGCTTTGCCTTGAGACAGAGCAAGTGCTGGAGATATGTGCTGGTCTGGGGTGAAGGCCAGGCACAGACATAAAACTGTGAGGAAGATTTGGGCAGAGTGTTTTTCATTAAGTTTCCTTATGTTGCTCTGTGCACCTGTGTTATGGAGTGCTTGGCCAGAAATCCCTCAGCCTAGATTTAGAGGGTGACCTGAAAGCACAGTATGAAACTATGCTCCCAGGTACTGCTGAGTTTTGTTGACTCCAGAGTTGGCCTCTGGGCTCTACTCCATAGAAACATGAGGAAAATATAGTCTGGACGTGAATTCTTGGAAAGAAATTTATCTTGGTCAATGCCGGTATTCAATGTGTGTGGGCAGATGGTGAGCATGCACCTCCCTGTCCTGCATGGCACAGGCTTTAGACATGTCCCACATGGGGAGGGTTCCTCGGCCAGCAGCCCGAGACCTGCTCACTTCAGCTTTTACCATGTGACCCTTAACACGGCCACAGAAAACCTACCCCCTTTTTCTCTATTTCAAAATTGTCACATCTTTGAAAATAGTATTTCTGAATAATCTAGAGCTTAGAAGTACTGTCCGCCAGACCTTAGGCCAAGAGAACCACTAAATCCTGCGATCTAACAGTTCTGTTCTGACAAGATCAAAATATGTTGAGAGGCAAATGAAGGGCAGTTGACTTTTTTATCTCCCCTACCAGATGTTCATCACTGCCTATAGATTGGTGACCTAAGTGACTCATCAACAGTGGCAAAATCACGGATTATTTTAAATAGTTATGTGCCATTTTCTGAAACAGTGCACTGCTGAGAACTTCTTTGGTGATCTTTTGCTTTTAATTTAGTGTGTGAAAGGTTTTCATTTCCCCCACATTATAATACCTTCTTATATTGGGCGAATGAAGATATAAATGCTTCACTGTGTCCTCTGTAGAATTACCTTCTGTTGCCACCTACTGGGAGAACTGACAGCATCTCATTTCAGGTATTTCTGAAATCCCAAAAGTCTGGTATTTCAGTACCCACATAAAACTGCTATATTAATAAAATACTGGCTTTCAGGCACTCGCTCTGAACCAGAGAACTGTGCTATGTATTTTTAAAATTACTTTTAAGTAACGAAAAATTAGGTATATATTGGGATACAGTTACGAAAGAGTTCTTTCCTTTTTAATAAGAATTTTCATATATAATATTTCTCAATGTTAAAAAATAAAGAATTAGATCTGGACTTGCAGAATTAACTCACCTAATATAGTGAGTTCAGAACTATGGTTTCTAATATAGAGATCAGCCATTTGTTTTGCAGATAAAAAGACCAACTGCATCACCGATGTTTCTGGGTGTGCCTGCTTTTCTTTATGATCTTTTAGCAAATGTAATACAAACATTTACCAGAAAGGGGACAATGCTCCTCAACAGTTTAGGCAAAACATAATGCATTTCTGTACCTCTGCTGGAGTTGTATGCCATGACTCTATGTTTCATTGAAAACATGGATTTTTTTTAAAAATAAATTTATGAAAGAACAATAGTAAATCCAGCATTAAAATAACAATGGTACATATTTGGTCTCCAGGGTGTCTCCTTTTGATTAGTGTTAAGTGAAACCTTCCAGACAACCATGAGCTCCTAAGCAAGTCAGCTCACGTGGCAAGGTCAGCACAACAGGTCTTGCCACAGGCACTGTTCAAGCACAGTGCTGCTCGACAGCTACCCCCAAACAAACACCATTTTCTTTTCCTTCTATTACCTTTATTTTGGTTCCCATGCCTCCTAAATAGACACACACACCTCCGACACACTTTTTCACCACTGGGCCTGGTCTGCTGATTTCACATCTTCATTCTGAAGGCCATCTCTAATCAATTGGAAGAAAAGAAGGTTATCAGAAGTAGACAGCATGGATTTACCAAGGGGAAATCTTGCCTGACTATTCTGATATCCTTCTATGAAGGCAAAACCAGATGGGTTGATGAAGGGACAGAAGTAGATATAATATACCTCGACTTGAGTAAGGCTTTCGATGCTGTCCGCCATAATATCCTCGTAGGTAAACTCAAGAAATCTGGGGTAGATGATTGGACTGTGAGGTGGATTGCGAACTGGCTCAACAATAGAGTTCAGAGGGTTGTGATCAGCACTA